TCGGCCGCCCCTCCGCCCCGCCCCGGGCTCCACCTGCCCCGGGCTCCACCTGCCCAGGGCTCCACCTGCCCCGAGAGTGGCGCTGCCAGCCAGAACGCTGGATGCGGGATGGAGACACCCTGATGCCAACGGAGTATCCACTCTTTATTTGTAGTCCCGTCAACCCGCCCGTATTTGATGTGCTAAATGAGGCCACCTTCCCTTCCCTGCACCCATCACGCCCTGCTCCCCGGCCTCCGGCACCCCCTCTGCATGTAGAAACCTGCCACCTGCACGGTGTCCGGTGTCCAGAGTCCAGTGGCTTAATCCGGGACCCGAAGACTGGGTGTGTGATTGTGTTTGGTCGGAGAAGTGGCCAGGGTTCTTGAGCCGCTGGGAACTGGCCCTTCTCATGTAAACCTAACAGCAGTGGGGTGCCGGGGGGGCGGGACTTGTCCCCCATCCCCATTCAGTGGGTGAACCCTGGTGCCGAGAGGTGAGGTGACATGGCCCAGACCCAGGGCCCAAAGCTGAGCACTGCCCATCCCCTCAGCACCACCCGAAGAGCGAGGTTGAGCCGCTGGGCACCTGGCTGCCGGGAACAGGGATGGATTCCTTCTCCTGGGTCCTGGGTCCCAGCCCCTGGCTGGAGAGGGGGCGGCCTTGGGCACAGGCTGGCTAAGCTGCCACTCCCAGGAAGGAGGCAGTGGGCAAGCCCACGGCGCGGGGCCGGAGACTACGAGGTGGGCAGAGGTCCAGGAGAGAGACCCCAACCCCCACCCTGCTTGGGTCTGCAGAGAAGATGACACCTCAGAGGGGGCGGCTGGACCCCGGGACATTCCGTCAGGAAGGTAGGTAACTCCAAGTGACAAGAGCAAAAAGAACAGAGTCCTCCCGCAGTATTCTGAACTGCATTAGAACCCCAGGACTTGCCCACCACCCGGACTGGTAAAAAGAGGAATTTCCCACCTCCCTGTCCAATTAGAGCTGGAAGCCCTGCCAGTGTGGCTCAGTGGTTGAGTGTCCAGCTATGAACCAGGTGGTCACGGTTGGATTCCAGATCAGGGCACATGCCCAGGTTGTGGGCTGGAGTCCCAGCAGGAGGCAGCCGATCAAGGATGCTCTCTCATCACTGATGTTTCTTTTTTTAAAAATCCTCACCCAAGGATATTTTTCCATTGATTTTTAGAGAGTGAAAGAAGGAAAGACAGAAATATCGATGTGAGAGAAACACATCGATTGGTTGCCTCCTGCACATGCCCTGACCAGGGCCCCGGCTGGTGTTAATGTAAAAACCACTGAAACATGTAAAGAACTCTTGTGAGTTTATTTGAGCCAAACTGTCGACATATGCCGGGAAGCAGAACCTCAACGAATTGAGATAGTGCTCCGGAGAATGGCGGGGTTACATCTGTATTTATACATTTGTAATCAAAGGAGGGACGTAGGTGGGTTACATGAAATTCACTGGTGATAGATTAAGGAGTAGGGATAAAGCAAAGCCGGGTGGGGGGGGAACCCCTGGAATTGGATTAAAAGTAAAATAAGGGTATGTTATCATGGATGAAAAAGACAGACAGGCTCAGTTACGGTAAAGGTTGACCTTGTCAGTGAAGATACTGGCCTAGGACGTAACTGCCCACCATAACTGCTTTAGTTAAAGTTTAATTTCAGGCCATCCTTTGTGGTGACTCTAGGTCTCTGAGTTTGCAAGTCTGCCATGCAGGCCTCCCTGAGCCGGTCAGGTCAGCACGTGGCCCCTCTCGTCCACACTGGGGAGGAGCCTGCAACCAAGGTACCTGCCCTTGACAGGGATCGAACCTGGGACCCTTCAGTCCGCAGGTGGAAGCTCTATCCACTGAGCCAAACTGGCTAGGGCTCATTATTGATGTTTCTCCCTTCCCTTCTGAAATCAATAAAATATACATTTTTTAAATTAGAGCTGGGAGATTAAATTTCATTTAGAGAAATAAGCATGGCATTTCTTATATTCTGTGTGTGTCTCAAACCCATTTCATTTGATAGCAAGGAAATACATTGATGATGACCTGTCCAGGGAGGCCCTCGGGAGATCCAGGAGATTCAAAGGGGAACCATTAGCTCCCAGAACTGGCAATCCAAAGGCGGGTGGACGTCAGGGCACGCCTGGTCCAGGCGCTGTCTCCACACTAAGCAGCCCCAGCCTGCAGAGGAAGAAGGGCCGCCTCTTCCTGGCGCTGCCCAAGTCCGGGTGGAGCGCCTCCTCCGGGTTCCCGCAGGTGGGCCGGGCTGTGCTGCTCAGGGTCAGCGCCACCGGGAGACTCCGGCCCAGGGCTCCCTAGAGGGGCTGCGGATCCAGGCCCACTTTCCCTCGCGAACATAGTTCACAAAGGCCTCTCCAATAGGGGAGGAAGCGGAGGCCGGGATTGGGGCGGGTTAGGTTGGGTACCAGCGCGTTAAGGGTCGCATGCCCCACAGTCCGGCTTCCCGCCGCCCGCCCGCCGTTCTACTCCCGCAAACCACAACTCCCGAGAGGCCTTGCGGGCGAGCGAGCCGCGTATCTAGCGCGAGGAGATGGGAGCTTGAGCTCGCGAGACTGGGCGGGGCCGGAAGCCGCATTTCAAAGCGGTAATAGACGGTTATCTCTTCCAATAGCATTGAAAATACACCCCCTCGACCCGTAAAACGCGGGAGCAGAGCTGGAGGCAGCCAATAGAAACGCCAGGGGGCGGAGCCAAGGCCTCCGGAGCGGAAGTGGGTCGCTGTTGAGGTGGTGGCGTCTGGCTGGAGTGCCTCTCCGCAGCCTCTTCCGAAGGTGCTTCCTAGCTCGAGTGCGTCGGCGGGGCGCCTACCAGCCCAGAGCAGCCCAGGTACAGCCAGGCCTCGCGGGGAGGGAGCGGCAGGCCAGGGCCGGGCGGGTACGGGGCTCGGGCGGCCGCGCGGCCTGC